TCAAAAGGGTCCAAAACATGTAACTGAGTCGTAACTTGGGTGTTCACGAAGGCTCGACTTGCTTTGCACTCAGTGTACGGCCCATCCAACTGGCAAGGCGAGTAGCCTCCACCGACCCATCTGTCAACACCATCCACAGTGGACCAGTGAAGTCGACTTGCGACGACCGCTTTGGTAGTGCTGCCTAATTGAAGTAGGGAACCGCAAGTAGTCGAGCTGTAAAGAAGTAACTCAATGCGTGAACGCGGCACATTGAGACTCCTCGGTACCAAAGGGTTTGGAGCTACTGTCAGTGTGCAGCAGCCGAAATGCCCCGTGAAGGTGCTACTTATGAGTTTCCAAATGACGCCTTACGGGAATCAGGACTTAAACAAACAACCACTCCAAAGCAAAGTAGTTAAATAAATTCTCGCAGGGAAAATTAACAAGTTGAGTGGAATAGTAGCATGTTTAAGCCTCCGAGTACTATTCAGCACTACAATCTGCAAAACACTTCAAACAAGGTATGCACATTTCGCATGAAAATATCAACTGTATTTCATTTCACAACAACAGAAGAGTTTCAAGTGCATAGACGACGTCGCATTCTCTTAGAGCTTGTAGGAGGAGGAGGAGCGATAGGCGAGTAGACACTAAGCAGTATCTCAACCCACAACTCCTATTCAAAGATGCAGAATGAGGTCTCAAGAGGCGGAAACTCTCATTTGTGAAACATCGAGATGCGAATTTCAATACCATGAATGGTAGGAAAGATGATATTTGGTGAAAATGGCTTAGGTGCCACCTGGCTTTATTCTAAACGTCGTGGATAATTTTGGAGTGGGGATTAACCTGCCTCTTTCATCCTCCATTTTCCTACACAAATTTCATTACCTTAAGAGAAAATTACAAGGATGCGTTGATGTTTGCGCTGGTCAACGGAGTCGCTTCTTCACTGACTATCTTCCAGGCTTGCGCCTCATTCTACGTCGGAGCCGTGCTTCTTTCCCAGGATAAAACCACTGTTCTTGCAGTGTTTCGGTAAGTTCACTTCTGCTCGCCACCGATTGTTTTTGGGGGCTTACGCTAACCTCTTTTATCAAATGATTTCACCTTCTTAATTGCAGTGGAGACAGTAAATGAGACATTTGCCTTAAAAGTGTCATTGAACAAGTGATAACTGTGCCCCTTAGGCAATAGTGGAAGTATCTTTAGTGCTGAATAAAATCCCAATCATGCACACACATTTTCAGCGCCAAATAAGTGGATTAATTTAAAATTCACGGGATGTCGGTGGCTTCTGTTTTGACCCAAGTCTGCTTCGGAGTGCACAACTTATGCGTCTACTTTGAGAAGCTAATAACAATCAAATACGTAAAATTTTGAAATTTTTTGGGTGAATTATTTAAAGTGCCTGCCTTAAAAAACAATAACAATAAAAGTGGAAGAGTTGCTGCTAGGCATGTTACTAACATAATTTTAGTACTATAATGTTGTTAGACTTGTTCACTGCTTTTATGACAAGTGGCTACAGGTTGCTTGTAAATGAATAATAAAATACGACATTATTTTAGGACTTACTCTGCCTACAGCTTTGGCAGCCAGGCCTTGGGACGTGTGGCATCCCTGGCGCCAGAGTTTAGGAAAGCCTCACATAACGTTAAGTTGGTTTTCGCCACTCTCGATCGAAAGACAAAATCTGACGCTAACGAGGGCGAGTTTCTCAAGGAGGCGTTTGATGGTCGCATAGAGTTTCGCAACATCTACTTTCGCTATCCCACTCGACCTAACACACGCATTCTACAGGTTAGAATCGCTTGGAATGGTGTGATTAATCACGACTGCTACTATGATTGCAAAATGATGACTTATTGCTTAAGCGTTTTAGTCACACAGTTGAGGCAAATCAGTCTGTGGCACTGGTAGGCCAATCAGGATGCGGCAAATCGACTCTTCTCCAGTTGGTTCAACGTTTCTATGACGTCTCTGAACACGGTCCTGAGAGTGGGATTTTCATCAATGGACGCGATATGCGCACCCTCGCTCCCAACTGGATCCGTCGGCAAATTGGCGTTGTCTCGCAAGAGCCCAATCTGTTTGATCTAAGCATTAGGGACAATATCGCCTATGGAGATAACTCAAGAGTGGTTTCCATGGAAGAGATTATCGCTGCTGCAAAGGAGGCCAACGCCAATTCATTTATTGAGACTCTACCTGAAGTGAGTTCTTGTGACTTTGATTAAGGCAGAAAGTGGACTAATTTGTTTCGAACCAAAAGCATAACAATCGAAAGTCTTAATATCAATTTAGGTGTTATTAAGCATCAGTTAAGGATTTGAATTCAGTGGTCTGTTAGTTGTAAAACTACCAAATTCTTTCAGTTATCTGTTCGATGAGTAATTGGAATCTACAAGGTCGATTGCATTGGTGTAGCATAGAGCCGTGAAACTCCTGAAATTCGAAAGAAGACAACGTACTCGGGTAGGATATGCACTGCTGACTTACAGGGGATACAATGGCGAAGCATTTGTGTGGCTCCTCTACTAAACTTGAGAGTTGAGTGAACAGTCAACATGGTTGCTTGCAGGAGTTAGGTACGCCACGTCTCAGAGGGTAAAGCCGATCCATTTAAGGCGGTGTGCAGTATTGTAGTCTAGAAGATGCATCGGCGATGATGGACTTGGAGCAGCAACTATACACTGAAATCTACATGCCATCCAGATGCACAGAAAACCAAGGTGGATTTGACAGTTGGGACACAATCAGAACCCATTTCAACTTTGACGTAGTTACGCAACACTTTACGCCAATCTCAATATTTTTTGCTAAGGTGTTCAACCTCTTCCTAACGCTCACTGCCTCCAACTCATTAAGTCTGCTTATAACATTTCTTTCTGTGCTTAGCCAACATAG